GGAGTGGCTGGTGCCCACGGGAGGCAAGTAGACTCTGTCCTCTCATCTCTGGGGAGGCTGCTGTGGCTCCACACCTTCTTCAAGGCCCCTTGGTTGAAACTTCTTCCTGCCTTGAGACTTCTGCTCTCTGTCTCCAGCTCGGCGGGGAAGGGACAGACGTGCCTCAAAAGCCCCTTGCCATTATGACCTCACAAAGCACCCTCCTCCGGGCTTGGCTTCTGTGCTTCTGTGCTGAAGAATGGGTCTCAGTGCTCTGAGTCTGCCATGAGCTCATGCTTCCTGCTACGAAAGCCCCCTCAGGGTGGCCCCCTCAGGCTGAGAAGCTGGGGAGGAATGCGATGACTTCATGGCTGTTGTGTACTTGTTCTTTGTGCTCTCAGGGTTAGGCAGAGATGTTGTGAGGGCCTTTGAGAAACAGAGGCCAGTGAGAGAACTTCCCCTCCCTCCCAGAGAGCCCCTCCTCCTGAAGGTCTGAAGCACAGAAGCACATCTCGCCTGAAGCATGGGATGCCTCTGTTTTCTTACATCCCCTGCTCCTAGGCTCTTGCAAAGCCCCCCACCCAGCCCCAGGGGGCTTCCAGTCAGCTTTCTTACTTGGGAGCTGAAGACTCAGAGAGAAATGGGAATGGAATAAACCACTTAGCTTCGCTTGACCCAAATGTTGCGGATCACACTCTCCTGCCAGACTTGGCCAGGGGTAGTGGGATTTGTGGGAAGCTTATCCAACCCACTGCTGGGCCTGTGGGCTCCAGCCCTGATCTAGGTCAGATCACTGGGGGAATATGGTCTGTGAGTGTGTTCCAGCAGAACGAGTTGCAGAGTTTGGGGTCTGAAGCCAGGGTTTTAGTCTTGGCTTTAACTATAGCTGTGTGACCTGAGAAACCCTTTTGACCACACTAGTGTTGAGTTTCCTCATCTGAAAATTGGATATGCTAAGATCTGACTCTCAGGGCTGCGGAAGGGTAAGAGGAATCACTGATTTTTATGGGAATTTATAAACATCTCTTCCAACGCCACATCTTACAGATGAGGAAATTGAGGGGAGAAGAGAAAAAGGAACATATGCCGAAGTCGAGATAAGCAGCGATAAGCAGCGAGAGGCAAGGCTTAGACTAGTACCTCAGTCTCCGTTGGTGCTGGAAGATAAGGGAACTTTGACAAATTAAGTTCCATGCACTTTGCTGGGTCTGCTTTTGCTAAGAGAGACAGAGCATGGAGTCTGAAGTCAGGCTGCTGGGGTTTGAATCTCCACTTTGCCGTGTGGCCCTGTGAATGACCTGAAACCTCTCCAACTTTTAGTTCCCCCTTTTAAAAAATGAGAATAAGAGTATCTACCTCATAAGGCTGTGATCAGAATTAAAGGGGGAAAAAATCATGTAAATTGTTTATCCAGGAGCAAGAGCTGGGTAGATGTTAGCTCTTACTGTTACTAACAGTAAATGGCAGGCATTATTATCACATGCGGTGATGTGTGTGACAGCCCTTTGTAAAGTGTGTCGCACTATACTCATGCCTAGAGCTGAGCAGAGGGTGGAACCGGAGAATGTAGACGAATGGGTTAGCTGTCTCCTGGGTCACATGCCTGCCTGCTGGGGACCAAGGAACAACCACAATCAAGTGTGGTCCTGGTGATGGATCACTCGGACTGTTGTTACGTAGGTGAATGCCAGAGATTCCTGATTGGCCCTCCTCAGGCCCAGGACGTTGGTGGGGAAAGATAAAGCTTCTGTGTCCGCAACTACACAGTTTACATCCTTCTTAAGACCTTCTTAAGAACCTGGCTCTGCCCCGGAGATTTTACCTTCTTTCTCTTCGGACCAGCTTATCTCTTTTGACCTTTTGGGAAGAAGCTTGTGGGAATGTGTCCCTTGTTATCACCCGTTGGTGTGCTGGGAACAGTCCTGGTTTGTGTCCGTCTGTCTGGTTTAGCACTTTATCACTCTCAGCGGGGTCCTGGTTTGCCTCATAAATGCTCTGGCTACCCTACTTATCAAATACTCTGCTGGCACCTCGAACTTTATTTCAAGCCATTCTTCATGATTTGTAATTATCTTTGTATGGCTTTTAAACTAATATTGGCTCTCACAAGACCATAAGTCCTACGAAGGCTGGAGCTGTGTCTGTTGCTCACTGTTGTGTCTCGGGGCCTAGTCCTGGGCGTAGCACATAGTGGTTTGTAACCATGAGGGATCCAGCCGGGTTGGGAAGACCAGATGGCCGTGAGATGCCCTGGCTAGAGGGCGGCAGCAGACCTGCAAGCGTCCATGGACACAGGTGCCAAATCAAGTCTGCTCCAGGCGCGTAGGGATTCAAGGGGTGCAGGGAAGATGGGGGATAGATCGGTTTCCTAGAGCCGCTGTAACTAAGTGCCGTCAACTTGGAGGTTTAAAACAACAGAAATGTGTTCTCTCATAGTTCTGAAGGCTAGAGGTCCAAAATCAAGGTTATGCTCCCTCTGTCGTCTCTAGGGAAGGATCCTTACTTGCCTCTTCCAGTTTCTAGTGGCTCCTGGCCGTGCTTGGTGCTTCTTGGCTTCTAGTTTTGTCTAATCTCTGCCTCCATCTCCACATGGCCTTTTTCTTTGTGTGTGTGTGTGTCTCTCTGTGTCCTCTCTTCTCTTTATAAGAATACTAGTTCAGTATTGCCTCATCTTAATTTAATTACATCTGCAAAGACACTATTCCAAATAAGATCACATTCTGAGGTTCCGGGTAGACATGAATTTTGCGGGGGACACTGTTCAGTCCTTACGGGGGGGTCAAAGATGTGAGTCTAGTGGGGAGGCAGGCTTTTGAGAAGCCAGTGTTTCCTGTGGCCAGCATCATGTCATAGAAAGAGATCTGAGAGACTTCCCTGGTGGCTCAGTGGTTAAGAATCCGCCTGCCAATGCAGGGGACACAGTTCGAGCCCTGCTCCGGGAAGATCCCACATGCCGCAGAGCAACTAAGCCCATGTGCCACAACTACTGAGCCCACGCTCTAGAGCCTGCAAGCCACAACTACTGAGCCCACGTGCCACAACTACTGAAGCCCGCGTGCCTAGAGCCTGTGCTCCGCAACAAGAGAAACCACTGCAATGAGAAGCCCGTGCAATGCAATGAAGAGTAGCCCCCACTCGCCGCAAGTGCAATGCAATGAAGAGTAGCCCCCACTCGCCGCAAGTAGAGAAGGCCTGAGTGCAGCAGTAAAGACCCAACGCAGCCAAAAATAAATAAACTGTTTCTCTAAAAAAAAAAAAAAAAAAAAGAGAGATCTGAAATCCTGGGTTCTCCAACTAGCAGTGAGACCTGCGGCAAATCTCTTTGCTCCTCTGAGCCTTAGGTTCTTCACCTTTTCAGTGAGGATGATGGCATCCACCCTGCCCCACCGCCCAGGAATGTTGCGAGGGTCAAATAAAATGGAGGCTTAGAAAGCTCTTTGCAGATTGTAAGCTTAGGGTAGGTATATAATCATCCCTGACTTTCATGAGACACTAACATTGCCATGCTTATCAGTATCCTGTGGTCTGACCACCTGCTTTCTCTACGTTAGGATCACTGCTTTTACCACGGGACAGTGAGGAAGGCAGAACAGTCCAGTGTCACGCTCAGCACCTGCCGGGGAATGAGGTAAGAGGCCCTGACAGTGCTGGGGTGGGGGGGCGCACCTGAGACTCTCCCCAGCAATGGAATTTTTTAAGCTAAGTGGGGCTGGCCTTGGGCAGGGACTTTGAGAAGCTGTCTATTTGGAATGTATGCAAGCCAGCTCTGAGAAGGGCTGAGCTTGGGAGGGACAAGGGAAGTAATCCTTTGATGATGGTGATGGTAAAAATAATAATGTTAATAATAGATAACCCACAGATTCACTGGGGATTGAGCATACTCTTTCCTGAGGAGCTTGAGGTTTTATTATTATTTAGGTATGGTGAAGCCAACAGAGCAGGAGACAACTGCCATCGAAAAGACACTTTATCGTACTCAAGATCCCAGGAGGAGGGGCACACCATGCTGGGGCTGGGGCACAGGGCAGCACAGGGGTCAGTCAGGAGGCAGATGGGGGAGAGGGAATGTGGGCAAGAGTCTTTATTGTGGTTTCCGTGGAAAGGAACAGGAAAGGCAGGGTAAGCAGGTTTAGGATTGGCTAGTTTGAATAATTTGGGTGGGATCTGGGGCATGGGGCTGTCCCTAGTTGTCTGGTACCTGGCCCTGGGGTGAACAGGCCCGGGGAGGTGGGCGGCCCAGAGAGTGAGAAGCCCACTGGAAAGGCATGCTGTGCTCACTGGTGAGTTACTATCTGTAGGAATTGGCTAACCCTGGGGGCGGGAGCAAGGTCCCAGTGTCAAAGCACCAGGATATAGGAAATAAAAGACATGGTTCATACACTTGAACTTGATGCATTTGACCATTTATTCCCACTTCTCCTTTGCTCTTCTCTGGTAGAAGTGCTTATAGGTGGCAGAAAAGGAAATGGGCAGCTAGTGAAGAGAGCAGGAAGAGAAGGGAGAAGCAAGGATAATCTTCAAGACAGAAAATGAACTGAAAAGTTCCAACGAGGGGGCGTGTTAGAAAGAGAGTGACTTCATTCTCTGAGCCAGACGACCTGGCTTTGAGCAAGTAGCAGTTGACCAGAGGGGTGACCTTGGGCCTTGATGGTCTCCTTTGTAAAATGTGGCGAAGGGAAATACGTATCTGTCGTGTTGTGAGGATTGCACGTGCTAATAGATACCTCACGTTTAGAACTGGCCGGTATATACAAGCACTCGGTCACCTCCCAGACCCGTGCTTCCTGGGCGGGGCCCGCAGCGGGGCACCATCAGTGTCACCTGGGAGCTTGTTCAACATGTAGTATCTCAGGTCCCACCCAGACCTACTGGATTGTGACCTGTATTTTTACCAAGATCCCCAGGTGATACGTGTGCACGTTATAGTTTATACCTGAGAATATGTGTTCCTTGAGAATATGAATTCTATCTCAATATCTGTTTCTCTCCTCCAGCCTACCCTGGTGCTTTGCATATAGTAGGATCTATACATGTGTGTTGGAGTAATAAAAATCATTTATTTAGACTCTTCCCACCCTCCCCTCCTTTTGGACAAGAGATGATGATCTGAAAAACCTGTGTTCTAATTGCCTGGGTTTTAATTGCCTATACTATGTGGTACCTATACCCAGTGTGTTGATAACCTAGCTCTGTGAAAACAAAAAGAGAAAAAAAGCACTGATATGTAGCATCTGCCAGTATGCTGGTAAAAATATTCCCACCATGACCAATTCGAAGCTATCAGCATGATGTTACTGAAGGCAGCATTGGGCAGATATGCACACGTTGGCCCTCATGAGCCAGGAGGAGGTGTTTCCACTGTGTACCCTTCCTCTCTCTTGATCGATTGAGCCAATGATTGTTTCTTTCATTCAGCAAATTAACAGTGGGTGTCTGCTCTATGCCCATGCCCTACACGGGTGGAGGGAAGACAGGCATATAAAAGTAATCTCCTGAGCCCTCAGTTTCTCATCTGTAAAGTGGGCATGGATGATAGGCATGGTAGAGAATGTTAAGTGCTGTGTTAACGCTACAGCATGCAGACGGGATTATTATCATCTTATAACAGTGAAACCATGCTAAGACTCACCCAGGCTCGCATGCCAATGTGAGGCCCATCATGCTGCTGATCCCACGTGTTTGTTTATAAATCGAGCCATGTCTCATCTGTAAGGCTTCATGGTGAGTTGGCCGGAGGGGATTAGGCAGGAAACAAGGTTTGGCTGGGAGGCCATAACAGAGACCCCAAATCCCCTGCTCAAGTGACCTGATTGAGCCTAGCCAACTGGCCTTCCAGTGGTGTTTACAGGCCCAGTCATCTGCAGTCTGCAAGTGAACAGCATCTGTCCCAAGAAGGAGGAAAGGGAACATGCAGGTGTGACTTGCTTCTCTCTGCCTATTCCTCTGTCCTCTTGGTCTGGGGCAGTGGGAATTTGGCTTGGCCTCTTGTACGTCATTCCCACAGCTGTGCTGATAGGGGGGAACTGGGTGAGCCGTCCATGTGTTTCTATTTTGCACGCTTCCCTTTTATGGGGTCCACCCGCCTTATTTTCCCAGGCTTCTCACTACACACCTTAAGAAACCAAGGGTGTCTGTGGGCCCAACTGATTTAAGAGCTGGAGACGCCTGGCAGATGGCTCGATTCAGACTCTGGAGTAGGAGCAGCTGTAGCAGCAGCAGGCTTCAAACCCTCGGAACACTCAAGTCGCCCCCCACTAAGGCTCATAAAGCGATACTGCAATGGAAAATCTCCATAGCAATTGTGCTTCTCTCCTGGAAATATGCTCTTTGTGATTGGAGAAAATAGGTAGGATTTATACCAAGTGGGATCTTCAGGCTGATGATACAAATACAGAGGAATCCAGCTGAGTCTCTAGATTGTTGCTGGGCGTCCTCTTCTCTCCAAAGCAGTTCTTTAGGCTAATTTAATTGAAGAGGTAATACGATCGTAGTAAAAATACATTCAAATAATATAAGAGCGCACAATGGAAGCGTACGCTTCCTGTTTCCCGGATCCCCCCTCCCCAGTGGCAGCCATTGTTACCAGTTTCTTGTGTATCCTTTTAGAAATATTCCTTCCAAAAAGGAACATGGATATGTAATATAATGCTCTGTAATCCTGTTTAGGCCACTGACCCCTTTGAGAATAGAGTGGCAGCTCTGGACGTTTATAAACTACACCAATGAAAAGATGTGGCACACCATTTCCTAGGGATGTTTAGTGTCCATACTCCCCAAGCCTGTCTCCTATGAAGGACTCATCTAAATGTCCTATACAATGTCTTGTGTGCACAAATGCTTTGCAAGTTAACATAAAGTATAAATTTTAGGAGCAATGATTATTTGTGAAGAAATCTAGACATTACTGGGTTGAGGTGTCCTTGACTGAACCTGTGGGATTTGGCAGACACTGGGCGTGCGTGTACGTGTGTGTGTGCGCGTGCGCACATGTGTGTCCAACTCACTGTCTATCAGCAGGAGAGGTATTGATTGCAGTAAAAACATTTTTTTAAACCTGATTGGTCACTTTATTTGTAAAGAAAGTGCTTATTGAAGATTATCATTATGTGACTAATGAGTGTGCTAAACATCCAAATCATACTGGAGCACAAAACTAAAAGAAGTGAAAATTCTTTATCCTGTCCTGCCCTTTCAGTCAATCTCATTCCCCATCTGTAATCTGTTGGGGAGTATACATAATTGAAATACATAATTATGTGTATATATGATTTTTTAATCCAAGGGAGATTGGTTATAGGGTTATACATACCATTCTGTAATTTGTTTTTTTCTTTTTCCAATTTAACATTATGTCGTAGGCACACATAGCTCTAGCTCATTCTTTTAATGGCTGTATAGTATCTTAAGTACTAATGTCTGGCAAGTTTAATTACATAGAAAGTCTTTCAAAGACATACAGTAAGATCACCTGTAGTCATCTATTTGATGCATCACTCTTATAGCAGATCTGTCCTCAAAACCCTGGGGCCCATACTCACTGTGGTTATACCTTACCCCAGGTCCCTGGACTCAGACTTTGTGGGAGAGAGAGGGAGAGAGAGGATATGAAATTAAGAGTGAGCACAGGAGGATGTGTGTGAACGTTATGTGATGGCTTAGAAGGAGCTCACAATTTAGAGTCAAGCGACCTGAGTTTCAGATCTAGCTCCATACCTCCCGGCTGTGTGATCTCTGAGCTTTCCTCCCCCTGTTTCATTTCATTTCCTCCTTGTCTTTGTTTTGGCCAGCTCAGCTCTCTAGATGGTGCCCACGGTGCAGGGGTCTGCTGAGTCCTGGGTGGGGGGCTGAGGGTGGTGTCATGGCTCCGCCCGTGAGTAAGGAACCTGGATGTCAGGAGACCTGGGATCTGCCCCCAGCTCTAACAGTAGCTCACTGGGTGACCTTGGGCAAGTTCCTACTTCTCTGGGCTTTGGTTCCTCTTATCTGAGAAAGCAGGGTAGACAAGACCATGGAAAGGACTCTTCAGTGTCGAAATTTCTGTGCTGCAGAGAGAGTGGGCAGAGTTTCCAGGAGGTGGGGCGCCTGGGACAGAAGGAGCCAGTCCATGCCTATCTGCCCTTTTGCCAAGGAGAGGCGTGGCCCTTTCCCGTTTGAATACCTGGCCTTCCTTCTGCAGAACAGATAAGAAATGCTACCTCTGTGTCAAGCATAGAGTAAGCCCTCACAGGGCAGCATCAAGTTGTGTCAGGTATAGATTCTGGAGCCAGGCAGTTCCTGGTATAAAACCTGACAGGTTGCTTCAGTTCCCTAGCATCAGTTTTCTCACCTGTAAAATGGGAGCAACAATAGTGACATCATTGGTGGATTTACATGAGGTGATGAGTGCAACTTCCTTGAAATCAGGGACTTTTTTCTGTTTTCCTATCATGCTGCATCCCCGGTGCCTAGAACTGTTCCTGGCACACAGTAGGTAGGTGCTCAATACATATGTGCTGAATGGCTACTGAATAAGATGCCTTGTACCCTGCCTTGTGTATCATACATGCTCAATGACTATTAGCTATCCTTTTTAAATATTACCCTAATTGTTAGTAAACATTGCCTCTTACTTCAGTCAACTGTCATAGCAGCCCTGTGAGAGGGGAAGCTTTGTTGAGTAACTTAGCCCAAAGCTAGCAGACAGCAGAGCCAGAATGTGAATCCAGGTGTGTCCTACTCCCAAGCCCATGCTCTCCACTTGTGGCTTGCCACCCCATCCCAGAGGGACCACATCACCTGTGTGACCACATCACCTCTGTGCTGCCTTTGAAGCTCCCTGTAACTCCTTCTCACTAGCATGCAGATTTTGGGGGAAGGAAAGAAGTGTGACAGAGTGATTACCTCTTAGGGCAGCTCTGGATGTAGGCATGTAGGGTGTGTCCCCTTGGGTTCAGCTCTGAATGGACAAATTCCTAAGAAGCAGTTCTTGCCTAGTTCCTGGAAGGATGCATTTGAGTGAATCTTGTAGTCATTCAGGGGTTAAACCTGCTGTCTGCCTGGCCTGCCCTGTCAGGGTTCCTCTGTACAATTTCATTTGTATCAAGCTCTCAACAATGAATAGCGTGTGAGGTCGCTCTCAACAATGAATAGCGTGTGAGGTCCTGGCCACCCAACCTCATGGGTCCACCTCCCGCCCCCCCTAGATCAACTGAGACACTTAGAAGGAGAAATGACTGGTGAGTGTTCAGGGGAGGGCAGCTGGCAGGGCTTGGGATTGGTGACAGTGAAGGGCCTTGGGAGGTAGATTCTCACAAATCCCCCCACTCTTAAAGCTGGGCTTCGCTGTGACACGCTAGGGCTTGCCACAGCCTCTCCTCCATCCCCTGGCAGTCGGGAAGGTGGCAACTGTGACACAGGCGCGTTACCAGCAGCCTCAGCAGGGGCAGGGGAGGGGAGCGGCCGCAGAGTCCTATTGCTGGAAGGACCTTCAATGTCCTTCTGAGCTTGTGTTTCTCCAGTTATAATCTGTCCACTCCCCGGAACAGAATTGCTTAGAGCTCTGTGAAAAGACAGGGCCCTGCCAGAGGCTGGGCTCCAGGTCAAGGTTCCTGAGTGTGGCTGTGCAGGGGATTCCTATGGGACTTGTTAACTTGCTCAGGCCTACAGAATCTGCATCTCCTAGGTGGGGCCTGGACATCTCCATTTTTAATACACCCTGTAGAATATTCTAATGGGTAGATCTGGGAGATTTGATCCTAAGATCTCTGACCCCTAGGTTTGGAACTCACTGATAGAGGCAGATAGCATAGAGGTTAAGGGCATGGGGTCCAGAGTCTGCCAGACCTTAAATCTTTGGCTCCAGAATACCCATGAGAGCTTGTTATTTAATCTCTCTGGAGCTCAGTTTCCTTATCTATCAAATGGGACCCATGATGGTGTTTTACAGCATTGATGTAAGAATGAAATAAGAATGACGATTATAAGCACAGTGTCTGGCATATAGTTAACTCTCAAAAAAATGGTGTCTACAGACCTACTGGAGAACAGACTTGAGGATATGGGGAGGGGGAAGGGTGAGGTGTGATAGGGCGAGAGAGAGACATGGACATATATATACTAACAAACGTAAGGTAGATAGCCAGTGGGAAGCAGCCGCATGGCACAGGGAAACCGGCTCGGTTCTTTGTGGCTGTCTGGAGGGGTGGGATAGGGAGGGTGGGAGGGAGGGAGACAAAGAGGGAAGAGATATGGGAACATATGTATATGTATAACTGATTCACTCTGTTATAAAGCAGAAACTAACACACCATTGTAAAGCAATTATACCCCAATAAAGATGTTAAAAAAAAAAAATGGTGTCTAAAAATGAGAAGTAGACTGACTGCCTCTCCCAGCGGGTGTCTTACTTCAGACAGGCCAGTTGGGTAATGGCCAATCACGCCTCAGGGGAGCGTTGCTGATTCTTGTCACTTATAGCTACTCTACAGGGCTCTGGTGACAGAGGCAGTGTGAGGTCATGGTTAAGGTCTTGGGACCTAGAACCAGACTGCTTAGGTTTTTACTGCCTGTGTGACTTTGGTCAGTTGATTAACCTCGCTGAGCCTTAGTTTTCTCGTTTGTAAAATGAGGATAATATTTGTAAGGATCATAGAAGTTGGTGTGAATAATAAAATACGCAGCACAGTGCCTGGTCCATAGTAAAGACTCAATAGTTTATAACCACCATGATTGTTGTTCACTGTGCACCAAACTTCTGTGTTGTCTCTGGCCTATTTGGCCTAGAGGCTTATTCAAGTGATGCCTGGTCAGCTACACCGGAACTTTCCACCCACTGGGTGTTATCTCCACAGCCACAGCCCAGTGCACACAAAGCCATCGGCTGGTTTGTGGTGAAGCCCTCTGCTTCCAGTGTTTGTAGCCATTGGGGGAAACTGAGGTGACGGGGAGGGGCCTTGGTCAGCCAAGATGAGAAGATAGCTTGAGAACAGGATGCCCACAGCAGCTCTGCCCTCTGCCCTTTCCCGTCTGGACTCAGGAGCGGATGTGACCCTTGCTGTTTGTTCCACTCTCACCCCCAGCTGCACAGGCAGCCCATTGGGCGTCCCGCCGGGGGGCTGGTCTGGGATTGCTGCGTCAGCCTGGATGAGGTAGCCGGGAAGTCGTCAGGCTCCCTGGCACCGGAATGAGGTCAACCAGGGATGGATTACAGGAAGGACTGCTGCTGATCAGGGCCTGGCGCTGTCTCTCCTGAGAGCGTCGCAGGCTCTTCCCAAAGGGCAAAACCTGGGCGGGGATCCGGAGGTGTTAGGGGCAGAGATGGAAGCCGAGACAGCCGAAGAGAGGTCCTGCCAGTTTGGAGTGGCAAAGACTGACTTGGCTACACTTTACCTTTTGAAATTTCTGGATGGATAGAGCCTGAGGTTTTGGAGCACACGAAATGCTATGGGGTCCCTGGGGTACATTGCTGGGATCTTCCTTCCCCAGGGCCCTGATAACATTCCCTTGCTGTAGTTTTCATCTCACGGTGTCAGGGATGGCAAATACCTGCTACGGGGCCTCTGCTGTCCCTTCCATTGACTATTGGTGATAGTGATTGATAATAAGCTGTGCACTCTTTCTCACCGGGTCCAGATAAAGCGCCCAGAAGCCTCATTGGCGCAGCACCCCGGGCAGCAGCATCCAACATCAGTGTTAAGGGCGATGAAAGCTTTTTGCCTTCTCTGTTAACATACTGTAGTGATTTATTCCCATGTTCAGACTCTAAGCTCCGTGAGGGCAGGCATCTTGTCTGTCCTGTTCACTAGTCCATCCTCAGCAACTAGCACCATGCCTGGCACATAGCAGCAGCTCAGGAAGTATTTGTGGAATGAATTTCTGTCCTCCAGTGGAATGTGAATTACACAAGGACAGGGATTATGTCTAGATTACATCTAATACAGCGTAAGGGTTCAATGAATGAAAAAATATAATGAATGAACACACATATTTATTCTGAGTTCAAGGCTAGTATCTGTAACCCAGAGAAAAGAGTAGTCACACATGCTTGGTTGTGGGTGTCACCTCACCGCAGAGCTGCCTTGCTGACACAGGGAAATTGGGGCTGGTAGACATGCCATCAGTGATGTCGCTAGCTTTGGTTTCCAAGAGCAAGGACACTTGTCTTTCCATTTAATCATCCCAAGAGTCCTGTGAAGTTAGAAAATTATCATTTGCATTTACACTTGGGGAAACTGAGGCTTGGAGTGATTGAAGAGGTTTGTTGAAGAGTATTTGGCAATTTAATGTTGGAGCTAATATTAGAACTTGGGTCTCCTCATCCTCAGGCCAGCATTCTTTCTCCAGTCACCAGACTGTCTTTTTCTCCGTCTATCAAGTTTTGACCTGTGATCTGTTGTATGCTATGTTTGGGTTTGGGAGGCTTTTTGGAATCCTAGTCCTGCCATCCTTTATGAGTATGAACTGTCCCTGGTCCAGCCCTTTTAGAACCTTCAAGCTTCTCTGTGATATGCTTTTGTACCCTGAAACCGTGCACCACATCTCATGTACATGTGCATTTCTCTGGAGAGGGAGTCTGAGTTTGCGTCAGATTCTCACCAAGGAGTGCACAAGCCCATAATAAGATTAAGATGCAATGATCAAAACCAACTGTGAAATTTTTTATAGGGGGAAACTGAGGCCTGAGCAAGGGACTTTTCCAGGACCATAATCTTTGACCAGAGATTCTATTTCTCCCGTCAACAGAGGACTGATTATGGTGAGCAGTAACCTCAGCTACATCATCGAGCCCCTCCCTGACAGCGAGGGCCACCACCTTATTTACAGATCCGAACATCTCAAGCTTCCCCCCGGGAGCTGTGGGTTCGAGCACTCCAAGTCCACCGCCAGGGACTGGGTCCTTCAGTTTACAAACCAGACCAAGAAGCGACCTCGCAGGGTGAGTTTTTCTTAGCACAGGAGTTAGCCTGGGGATAGGCTTGTCCCTTCTGAGGACCCTTACCTTGGATCCAGGAGTATTTCTAAATTAAAGGGAGATGGCTAAGAAGGAGGAAATAGCTTTTTCCTCTTAGTCTAAGTCATTGTTGAGTGTGAGACACCCTTGTTTTCGACAGAATAACAGCTTTGGGGGAAAACATTACTACCTTTAAAATAAGGTGCTGATTTCAGAAACTTTAAAATGTGAGAAGAAAATATACGCCTCCCTTTTTGGAATAGCCACTTAACCATGTGCACAAAATGCTTGTATTTATTTATACCGAAAATAGAGGTATGTGGTTTAAATGTCTTTTGGGAACTTGACTGTCAGCATGTTCCCTCACGGTATGTCAGCCTCTGTTCTGTCTGCACTAGGCAGCCAGCTCGTTATTTCTGGAGACTAAAGGACTGGACCCACTGTCCCAGAGCAGCCTCCCGCGATAACCAAGATGGCGGGCGGAAGGTGTAGTGAGGGTGATGATGAAGCGACCATAGCTGGGGTTGTCTCTAGATCCCAGGTACAAATTTAGTAAGGAGGGCCGCTGCTTATTAACTGCACCATTTCTGAGCAGTTTTTTGAAATGAGGTCAAGTCCACCATTTCTATAGCTCTGATCTGCTTATGTCTCTTTCTTAGATGAAAAGGGAAGATTTACACTCCATGAAGTATGTGGAGCTTTACCTTGTGGCTGATTATGCAGAGGTAAGGGGGAGGCAATGGGTTTTAGCAGAAAAATTGCTCTCTTGATAGCTTCCATTCCAGCCTTCAAACTGCTTTGGGGAAATACTAGAGTATTCCTCTTTTTTCTGGTTTGTCATGTGATTTTGACCTTAAATCTGACCAAGGGCTCTTTTTGCCATTTTAAACATAGTTGGGAAAAAAACAAGGAGAAGTCTCTTCCAGCTCAGTGTGTTAATCAGAACATCAGGATAAAGAATGTTATTTGGGTTAACATTTCTTAGACTGGGTCTGAAGACCCTTAGGTTTGGGTGCTTATTCTTTGGGAGAATAGAGATAGACCTGCCCCTCACGTCACAGGGTTTACAGTAGCAGCAGAAAAACTCTCTAGTTCCAAGTGTGATGACTGCTATAGGATGGTTCATCGCAGAGGATTAGAGTGCAGATAATGAACTGGGGAAGGCTTCCCAAGGCAGTGGTGTTGAAGCTGACTCCTAAAGAATGGATTCAGGCCCTACGGCCCATATTTGCCTAAATTAGCCGTATTTTACCTCATTCTCACTTTATGTAGTGGCTCAACCACAGAACTGACATATCCTCTGGGCATGGAAGGTCAGATGAGCTGAGCACTCCCCACGTTCTAACACTGCACCTCGCCTGGGGCTCCCTTTCAGACAGAACTCATCACAGTTCCCATCTGTCACATACCATCCAAATGGGTTAGTTAGCAGCTCCCCCAGAGGAGCAATCCCACAGCACAGATCCTGGAGGCAGTGCAGGGAAGGGGGAAGACTACTAGACTTCGCGCTGGAAGAGCTGCCTTCCAGTGTTAGTGGCAGGAGGAGGTGGCCCTTGAGTGTCTGCAAGGACACCGACTCATTAACTGCGCAGAGACGCGGAGGTGAAGGGCTCTCCCAGGCTGAGGAAACATCTTTATATATATATATTTTTTTTTCCCCCCAATTTTATTTATTTATTTATTTATTTTTGGCTGCGTTGGGTCTTCGTTGCTGCGCGCGGGCTTTCTCTAGTTGCCGCGAGTGGTGGCTACTCTTCGTTGTGGTGTGCGGGCTTCTCACTGCGGTGGCTTCTCTTGTTGCAGAGCACAGGCTCTAGAGTGCAGGCTTCAGCAGTTGTGGTGCATGGGCTCAGTAGTTGTGGCTTGTGGGCCCTAGAGTGCAGGCTTCAGTAGTTGTGGCATGCAGGCTCAGTAGCTGTGGTTAGTGGGCTCTAGAGCACAGGCTCAGTCATTGTGGCACACGGGCTTAGTTGCTCCGTGGCATGTGGGATCTTCCCGGACCAGGGCTCGAACCCGTGTGCCCTGCATTGGCAGGCGGATTCTTAACCACTGCGCCACCAGGGAAGCCCCGAGGAAACATCTTGTTCTGCTTTGAGAGGAGTTTTGCTTTTTAACTGGTGTCGGTATTGGGTTTTCCAGCAGCCTTTCTTTCTTTCTTTTTTTTTTTTTCTTTTGTTTTCCTTTCCAAAGACTGGTGTGTGTATAGGATGGGGGAGTGGTGTGGGGAGCAAAATCCTAAGTGATTTAAAAGCCGCAGCTGCGCAGTCATGGGAGATGCTAATGGCGCTGGCCCCTGCCTAACAGAACTGCCATAGTGGGAGTGTTGCTGGCAGAGAGCTGAGCTTCCCCGGCTCTGGGACATCTTTAAGCTTTTTGCATTTGAGATCCTCTGATACAGTGGTCTCGAACCTTTTTTTTTTTTTTTTTTTTTTGGCTGCAGAATCCTTTGTTCATATGAAAGCTCCTGGGACCCCGATAGTTAAGCATATAGAAACACAGCTGCTCTAATGGAAAGGTGGGGTGATGCTCCCCCTCGGCCTTGCACTCTCACCAGAGGACTCCTGGTGTGGGGATTTAAAACCCACTGGGTGTGAGTCTGAAAGCTGGAGAAGCGGGGGTGGGGTGAGGATCGGACATCTTCAGTCTCCTGACCTCCAGGGTCACAGCAAACCCCCAAGAGGAAAAGTTTGTGCTCAAGGTGCCTTCAGAACTGTGCTGTGCGTAGAGCCATCTTCCTGTTCTAGAGGGAGGGTCTCCAGCAGCGCCCCATAGGTGTTGCCCACAGGCAGCTCAGTGGATGGTGGATAGGGAATGTGCTCCCTACTCAGGTCCTGGGCAGGGGTGGGTGGGGAAGTAATAGGCCAGGCTGGGCTCACAGGCTCACAAATGCCTGCCCCCCTCACCACCTCTTCCCCCACTCCCTCTCCAAGTGGCCTCTCATCCTGCACGGGCAGAAATGTATTCCTGACAATTAATTAATCTGAGAGGACAGCAGACAGGGAAGAGGAGGGCCGCCTTATCTGTGATTTATAACCTGGTGCTGAGAGGCCAGGCTTCGCCTCTGGGCTCTGGACTTAGCACAGGGAGCAGAGACATGGATGGGGTTGCTGCCTGGAGAGGGTTTTCAGCAGTAAAAATGACCATGCAGCTCCCTGGGCCTAGGTGGGAGCACCTGGGGGTGGTTCTCAGTTTATTCATTCCTCAGGTGAAATGGGAGATCCAGGTGGGGGAAGAGCAAGATGGGATTTGGAGGAGGAGACAGGGTAGCTGTGAGAACAGGTATGCCAAGGACTTTTCAAGATACAGACAGAATGTGGGGCAGTTGGGAAAGACCAGGTGATGCACCGTGTTTTAAGGCCCGTGTCAGCCCAGAAAGTGTAAGTGGGAGATACTCTTTTCTTTACATCAGAGGTCTGTAAACTATAGCCCATGGTCAAATCCAGCCCAGTCCGGGTTTTTATAAATAAAGTTTTACTGGAACGTAACCATGCCTACCGCTGCATGTGTTGTCCATGGCTGCTTTTGAGCTACAATGGCAGAGTTGAGTAGTTGTGGTAGAGACTTTATGGCTGCAAAGCCTAAAATATTTACAGTCTGGCCATTTGCAGAAAGTTTGCTGACTCTTGCCTGAGGCTCTTCAGGATAGCATGATACATTCCTTAAAACTATGGTGGTATTATCGGGCAGCTGTTTGAAGATAGGATTTATATATCTGAAAGACAATGAAATCTGACTCTGATGTTCTAATAAATACTCCCTAAATGCTGCAGCACTTTCTGTGCCGTGAGACGAGTTTAGAAATGGGATGACTGAGTAAAGAGAAACTACAGGATTAACACCTTGGAAAGGTCTAAGTCCCAGGATCTTACATTGACTTTAACTCCATAGAAAGCAATGGTGAAAGTGAGACGATTGCAGTTCTGATGAGTCACGGTTCCCAGGAGGCCCAGGAAGGTCCAGAAGCAGTGAGAGAATAGGAAACGGTGCGTTTCTCCCCCTATTGTGGCTGAGACACACCCCCATCTGGACAAATATCCCAGGGTGTTTTATTTGGCTGTTCTTTTCATTTCTTTCTTGTATATTCTTGTGGGATGCAGTGGAGGAAGGACGTGAAGGTTTGGACTGAAGTAACATATATCGTGTGTACACAAGGTAAATCAGATAGGTTCTGTGTAACAATGGCAGCGTATAGGACATACCCATCATTTTCAAATTTAGGTTGCAGTTGTAGCAAGTTTTATCTTTATGCTGTGAAGCTTTCCTTCATCATTGCAGCTGAAAAGTGATCTACCCTTTTTTTTTTTTTTTTTTTTTTTGGGGTGACGGGGCCCCCTCCCTGTTGTAGCCTCTCCCGTTGCGGAGCACAGGCTCCGGACACACAGGCTCAGCGGCCGTGGCTCACGGGCCCAGCTGCTCCGCGGCACGTGGGATCCTCCCAGACCGGGGCACGACCCCGTGTCCCCTGCATCGGCAGGTGGACTCTCAACCACTGCGCCACCAGGGAAGCTCGTGATCTACCCTTTTAAAGCAGGCGTGGTTAAGTGAGGCTACCTACCGAAATGTGCCCCTCCTGCTCCCCACGGCAGATATTTCTGATGGAGCACAGCACTTTTTGCTGCCGAGCCCCTTGCAGTCTTAGAATTCTTCTCACTGTGGAAGGCATTGCTAGTTGATCTGAGTAGCGTGCCTCGATGAAGGCTATTTGCCGAGGTTTTATGATCCTCATTGCCAGCACTCATTTTGTGTCATTCACACAGCCTCCTGTTGCAGTTATTTCTGTGCAGGTTTTCCCAGCCCGTTTCTATTTCATACTCCTTAAATATAGCATCTGCCATTGTTGTTATTTCTGGTCCACTCTGTGTTTTAACTGAAGCTCCTTCAGGGCTAAGACGAGGACCACACACTTTGTATCCTACCCAGCACCAAGTGCAGTGCCTTGCACACTGCAGTTGTTCAGCAACAATTTGACCATGTTGACTGATCACGTGCACGGAGGCCTTGTGAGATCCCTGTGATGGTGGCTCCATGCTGGGGTGATGACCGAGGCAAGGATTGGATTGGTCCCTCTTCTAAGCCCAAGTGGAAGTTTGCAGGAGGCCTTGTAATTGGGAGGACAGGAGAACAAGGTTGATTTCACAGGATGGAGGAAGACAGTTCAGTTCACTGCACAACTGTTACATGCCTACCGTGTGCCTGGAACTGAGCTAGTAGTTGGAGGTACCAAGGTGGATGTGACCCAGGTTCTGCCCTCCCAAGCTGACACTATGTGTCAGGGAGATAGTCGTCATAGAAGACGAAAGAAAATGAAAAGGAATTCAAAGACAGTAATGGGGCACACGAGGGGTCCTGGGAAGGGTTCTGGGGTCTCACCTAGTTCTGCTTGCCCCATTTAGTTTCAGAAGAATCGACGAGACCAGGATGCCACCAAACACAAGCTCATGGAGATCGCCAATTACGTTGATAAGGTGAGACCAGGTGTGTCCTTGTGGGAAAGGTGCCAGCACCTTAGAGGAGCTGCAGGACAGGAGATCACACCTGACTTGCCTCTTGCTCGACTGGCTGCCCCACCAGCTTCTGGGAGGCAGTAGCGATGCAGCCAAAGCTCAGTGGTCACGACAAGACCATCAACTGCATGGACCTAGCCAAGTAACTTGTCTTGTTTGGGTTGCTGTTTTGTTTTGTTTTTTAATTTACAAAATGAGGGGTTGATTTAAATCAATAGCTTTGGATTGTTTTTGTTTTTCTGATGGAATCCTTTTTCTAATGTCTAATATAAAAGTCTGATGAAAACAGACACCTCTAAGCTGAAGCAGGGGTGAGGACCCAGAGTGCTGTCCTCTGACCCCCCTCCTCTCATCCCTCCCTTAAATGTTGAGGAGTGGGTTGTTTGGAGTCAATCTGTATAATCTCCATCTGTAAAACAGTTCTAAAATCATTTGGTTTTGTCTCTTAGAAAAGCCATGCAGTTGGTTAACTTTCCTAGTCAGGCTCTTTTAAACAAGCTCTTAGGAAATACCCAGGTTCTTGAATTTTACTAGAATAGGCTGGTCTGGGACTTGGAAATACTTTGTTTATATGAAAGAGTGCAAAATGCAGAAGAGGTAACCTAGAATGACAGTGGCCTCTTGATAGGCGAGTGGTAAATAGTTTTAAAAAGTAGATTTTAATGTTTGGGATCGCAGGTCTCTGAGAATCTGATCACATTTATTGTACAATTTCAGAGCACTCACAAAACTTCTGAACCTTAACTCTGGGCCTGCTAGGGATTCCTGGATCCCAGGTCTCAAGGGGGAATATATATATATATATTTTTTTTTTTTTTTCTTTTTTTAAAAAAAATATTAGAGGATAAGGAAGAGAACAAATATTTTTAGGGATTTACAAGCAAATTTGGTAGTGTACTGAAGTCATTGGGTGGGCAGGTCTGTGCCCTGTGTTTTTGCCGTAGATGACTCTGGAAACGCTGGTCAGTGTTTGGTGCCTGGTGAAAGTCAAACACTGGCATTTCCTGGAAGGAAGGACTCCAGGGACACAGTGCAGTCCTCTCTCTAGCCTTCAGTTCACTCAGCAATAACATCTAAATGATCCCACAACCCAACCACTCGGCATCTGGGAAAACAAGAAAAGCTTGTTTCCCTGGGGGTAGACCATGTTATCCCCCATGTGACATCTATTGTTCTGGAGATGCTGCAGGTGGGAGACTTGGCTGGGTCTCCGCTATGTAGATTCTGCAGCTGGTCTGGGTGATACAACCAGGGGTGCTGGTGAAAAGTGGAAGGAGAAGAGAGGCGTTAGCAAACCACATCCTTGCTGGAAGGCCCCCAGCCTTGCCAGCTGGTCTGCTCTGTGAAGCAGTCTCGGTTCTCTCATCTGCAGCTGAGGTTAGTCACTCCCGGCTGGGGTTAGGGAAGGCAAACTCACTTCTCTGAGGCTTGCTGACCCACCTACTTGAACTGAACTATTATGGAACTAAAACTGGAATGCACTGCACTGATCAGCTGAATCATGAACCCAATCAAAAATGTTTTTCCTTAACTGTGAAAAAAGCCAAGTTCAAGTCCTCAAAAAGCTCCCTAGTGAAGCAAGTTCACATTGAAATCCAAACCCTTTATTTTCTGCAATGATTGACCTGGCACAAAACAGGGAAATCAAAATTTCCATTGAAATCAACTGATACTCTGCTGAATCTGGAGCCCATTTACATCACAGTTTCTTGGGGGCAAGTTGATTCTCTGGATGTGTAAATATGGTAGCACTTCAGCAGTGTAGTGTCCTCATGAGTAGACTCTGAGGTCTAATAATCCGGGCCTTAATCCTGGCTCTGCCAGCTTCCTGC